AGTTGGGTATACTTTGAAAATATAAGGTTAATTTTGTTTGTTATATATAGTTGGCTTCTTAGCCGCCATTCAAAGCACACTAGATAAAGAAGAGCATCGTTTTTAATCTACAGACAGATGACTAGATTGATGTGGAGATCTGTGGAGATCACTACAATGTTGCATCCCCAAAGCGGACACAATAATCTCTATCAAGAGTTGGCATGATACCTAACCTACCGTTTGCCACAATGGCCATAATTTGCCTTCGCCAAGCTATTGACCCCTTAACCAATAAGCTTGAGGTTTGTTTTGGTTATTCACCACAAAGTCTATAAGCCCATTCAACGTACACTTCACCACACCTCACAGTCGGTCAAGGAAGAGCATAGAAGTTGCTTGAAGGCTTTTGCAAATTTCACATTTTGGTTAAGATTAAGTTGAAAAAAATTCAACTTAAATAAAAAAGAAATGCATGCTTATCATCACTTCAAAGCCAATTTCCAAGTGGATGATGTAGTTACATTTACAGAAGGATTGACTCAAAGAAGAAGGCAAAAAATTAAGCCAATCCAACATCAACCATTCTAGATTATCAAAAAGAATGGAAATAATGTTTGTCAACTCGAGTCATCATCATACATGATGTATTCAATAACAGAAGTGGACAACATAAGCCATTTGAGTATTTAATGCTCGGTGGTAAACGGTGAGAACTCATACCTACAATGGATGACCTACTAATGGACTTAGATATATCAAAAGAGTAGAACATTCTCATGAAGAAAAAGATAACCACTACAAGGTATATTAAAAAGGAGACATGCTACAAAGGCAAGGATGGTAAATTTCCGAATGCATCAAACCGGTATAGCTAGGAGGCTGGCAAATCAGCCTTCCAACATCTAGAGCTATGATTTCAGAAATATTTCTATAAAGGGACTTATAATTCGGAGAATAAATGAAGGGGATGAGTAATCAAATCATTAATAGCAATTTGTCAATCAAATTTTGAAAAGATAAAGGGGAAAGAATTGTTGAAATTTTGACAATCTTATACATTGATGAAGGTTTCCAATGGTGATGATTCAAAAATTGCTTCTCTACGATTGTTGCAAACATTGCATCGCTGAGATTGAAGATTAAATCAACAAAAATCCAAAGTTAAAAATAGCAATGTTTAAAATTGTGCAATTAGATATTGTGATGATTTTCGTACATGAGGTAGAGCATAAGCCTCAAAGCATTATGAGACATAAGCCTCAATATTAGTTAGCAAGCTTGTCATGAGTGACATCTTCATGTCAGCTTGAGGGGGAGTGTTGAAAGATCTCAAAAATAATTAGGATTATATTTCATATTTGTTATACCCTATATTTAGAGGGTTATGAATTGTATGAGTGATCTTAGGGATCACTATTTATTTTCTCCTTAATTATATTTATTTTCTCCTTAATTAGGTCTCCTTAATTAGGGAGATTAGTTGTCTCTTATATTTGTTATTATTCTTTTCCTTGTCTATTGTATCCTTCTTTTATTGTATTCCTTACCAATAAATCCGGTAATGGGTATTTATACCCCTCTTTGCATCAATAAGAATAAGCCCTCTTATATTTCTTCAATCTCCAATTGTTTCCTGGCTTCAAACATGTTCTATAAATTCTTGCCACAAATCTTATTGTAAGTGGGACTTAGGAGATCTTTCTTATAAAACTCCCTCATCAAAGAAAATGCCCGGGAATGATTGTAAATGAAATTACTAATCTCTTTTGATGTTTTTAGAGCATTTTTATTCTGAGTCAAATAACCAAGATTCTTTAAAATCAGGTCTATTATTCAGTGTGCAACACAATATGTCCAATAGAAATGTTCAATTCCCCATCAATTTATTTCCAACAACACTATAAATATTAGCATTACTTATAATAACTTGGACCATCAAATGCTCTATGATCTCCTATATCACTCCAAGCAGTTTAAAAATGTGCTTTGCAATCTTCACCCGATCATATGCTTCAACAAATTTCGAAAAAAATAAAGTCATACGGATTATTTACTAGAATGTTAATTAAACGTCTATACTTTATATCAGACAACCCATCAAACAAGATTGTTACTTCAATCTAACTCCACACCCTCTTAATCTCTTCTTTCTCTTTTTATATATTACTCAACTCCTTCAACACCCATGTCCTCACATCATACATGGACGGATTTCAACCATTGACCATAAATACCATGGAATGACATTCTCATAAAAAAATTTCAAAATATCATGCAAGCACATTTGTGTGCCTACCAAACATAGTTTGGAGGCAATCTTTAAGTTGCAAATGTCCCCTCTTCATGACCCATGTCATCCTCCACTTTTACTATACAGTGGTCCATGAGACCTCTTACACCTCTAATAGCTACCAATAACAAAAATGATTAGGGATCAATGTCACTGCGCTCACTCTCATAATAAGATCCAACATCAACCCTATCATTGAATTGTCATCGTGCAAGATGCTTCGATATCATTGACTTTCATATATAACTAAAACTCCACCTTTATTGTTTTCGACACTTTGCCAAATAGTGCTACATTGTTGAGCAAACCAGAGAAGTACTCCATCCTTATTATACCCCCTTAAACTAATTTCTCGCCCGCTTCAACTAACTTTTCGCAGTAGTTGCACTTCAAATAAACATATCTTGTCGTTGCCCGTAATGTTAACTTGCAAAAGATGTCACCATGTTGGACCCTTCTTATGAGGATTCATCCTTGCCTTTAACAATCTCTTCTAAAAATTTTGATACAAAATTCAAACAAATTTGACTAATTTAAAATATTCAAAAAAAAATTTAAAATGAGTGGATTTAAAGATTATTATTGGAGAGAAAAAATTGGTAAAAAAAATAGAGATCTTTGTAAAATAAGAAAACTCGGTAAGATGGGGAATGCAACAATAGCGTGTCAGGAGCCTTGAGTGGTGTGGCAGCTGCGATGACACTAAGGCAGTGGTATGAGAAGGGAGATTGGGCGCAACAAGGGGTGGTGGAGGAAGACAGTGGCGGTGGAGGAAGCAGAAGAAGATGGTGACAGAGGCGGAAGCAAGCAACGACGGCGATGGAAGCGAAAGCAGGAGAAGACAACAATAGTGGCAGAAGCAAGAGGTGACGAGGGTAGCAACGACGCTAGGGTTGCTTGGTGTATGTGAGAGCTAAGATCATGTATTAGAGGGAAGATTGCGCAAATCAAGATGCAATTGTGAAAGCAGCAAGCAACTGCGATGGGGATGGAAGCAGTTAGCGGTACCGATGGCGACGACACTAGGATGGTCGGCTGGAATATCTTCTTGAAGGGTGAGCTTGCGTGTGTGTAGGCAGAGTGCAGATATGAGCTAAGTAGGATTGCTGGTTTAAGGGGAGGCAAAAAAAACTTAGAACTAACAAGGCAGAAGCCTCAATTCAGAGGAGGCAAGGCGCGCCTCAATGTGTCTCTGCAAGAAGTTCCATTGAGACGCACCTCAAGTTGTGAAATTTCAAACATTAGAGGACATTTAATTGATTGGGAAGTTAAAAATAAAACCAATATGCAGAAAATATAAACTATTGAATGGCCACCAAACAAACATCGAGAGTTGGTGAAGTTGGCTTTGCCTGACTTGTGAAATTAGTTTAGAATAAGAATGACTTGACTTTAACTTTAATTCTTGATCAAATTGCTTACTTGAAGGGTAAATGCCTACAATAACATCGAATTGAAATATCCCAAAACCTCTTTATATTCTCATTTTCTCTCCCTATGGTCGCGGCCTCCCAAGCTGCCACAATTGTTGACTGCATTATCCAAAAGGCTGCCCATGTCTGTTGCCTCTTCAAGTAGCCAAAATATTGCATCAAATGCTCTGTTCTCACCCTCCTGAAGATGTCGAAGTCAATCAAACTCACTGACATTGTCTGGACCAACGGAAAAGAGAAATAGGCATCTTGTTTGCCATCTACAGCAAACCCACAAAGAAATCAGCACTCTTTCAGATGACTGACAAGAAAACAATCTAAAAGAGAGGCGAACTTGTTGCTTGTAACAAGGGCTTAAAACCAAAGAGAAGCCTTCTACAAAAATTAAAAAAAATTGTTGCACCTATATATTTATTCATAAATCGTTAGGGTCCCTCCAAAAAATCCGTATTCTCTTTTCCTTGTATTCTCTTATTGTCGGGTTACATTATACCATTGTGAGGGCAGCTTCAGATCACCATTTTATATTTTCTAAGGGGATATAAAACCTCGTATTTGAGAGGCAATGACTGCCAATTAAGCTACCACTCATTTGAAAGAGAAAAGACTCATAGTATTGAAAGAATAATCCCTCAATATACTCGGTTGAATGATGGGACCCTCAATATACCCGGCTGAATGATGGGCTGGAGATTGAATGAATGAATTATAAAAAACATAAGTGAGACATTTGATTACATAGTTGTACAACATAAACTAAAGCAGCCTGTGCAGGTGTGTTGAAGAGCAGCACATATGTCAATGGTGAGGAAATTTGGAGGAAAATGCAGAGAACAATAAAACCAAGAAAATAGCTAGAATATACAAGGAAAAACTCAAGTTAACTAGAGTTAATACCAATAAGAAGCCGCATAGGAACAAAGAAGAATTTATACAGCCAAAATGCTGAGATATGACTAAATGAAACTTCCTTTCAGACAAGGTTATGTTTGTTGTTGTATTAAATAAAGTTATTACTATATTCATAGAGATGGAGAGCTATATTGCATAAGTTTTGCCCGTCAACAAAAGCTGACAAGGAGCCCATACACAATAGATGCATTTCTGCAACATATTAACTGTAACGATCAAAACTTTGGTAGCAAATGATTCACATTTAACAAATGAAGCCATTGTTTTCATCTCTCATATAATTACGCAAACAAATATGACCAGAAGCACAACATTGGTCTCACATATCATTTTGTTTGTTTCTCATGTAAATGAGGAATACAAAATAAAGATTAACGAATTACCTTGAAACAGCTTATTTTAACTGACGTGCCAGCTGGCAATTCATTTTGATCAGCATAAAAAGCTTCCAGATGAAATAAATGGGGATGATGAAATGTAAGCATTTTAACACTTGGAAAATACTGTCCTTTGTGAAATAATAGGTTGCTTGACAATGTAGAAATAGGACCATCCTCCGAACAAAAGCCTATCGAAAAAGGAAATGAATCTTGTACCTGAAAATGTTAGAATGATATGTTCTCAGGAAATGATTTAAGAGAATTTTTAAAAAGTCTAAAACCAAAAAAATACACAGATACGGAAATTTCCTAAAAGTTTTCTGAAAGAAATTATAAGGAAAACCTAGCAGTAATAAATGATCAAGCCATATGGTGATAAGAGAAACTTTACAGCTCCCACAAAAAAATAATAATAAATAAATAAATGCATAAAAGCCTCAGATTTTCCATGCAGTGCATGCATCCTCGAAATGAAAAACACAAGCCACTTCAGAATGCTGCATCAAAAATTCAGCATAGTGTTAAATTATCCATTTAATTAGCTGTTACTAACAAACAAAAAGGAACATATCATGGCCCAAAGGGGTACCGTTTGTCCAATTTAAATAAAAAAATTACGAATTCAAAATCATATGCACTTAAAACAATCTACAATCCTAGAACTACAATTAGTTGCTGAATTTAAACATGACTACCAGAAAGAGCTGCTCATATTTGGCCAAACTAGATAGTTGAACATCAAAGAACTTAAAAAAGAATAAAACTAAACAATTGAAAAGACAGGGAACTGGAGGGTGAAAATTTTAAAGAGCATTTCTGGAAATAACTAATTAATTTGTAACGTTTGAAAATTTTAAACCAATTGCATTTAATACATAAAGAAGGTTGAGGCCCATCAACAAAGAATGCAGTGTTATCTAGAGGCTTTCATAATGTAAGCATTGTTCAGGTTATATATAGTTGAATCATTCACCCAATTCAAGCAAATCTCAAACAATGCAAATATCATGCATGTTCTTTTAATGATTGCCTTCATGACATCATTGTTAACAATGAAAATATAGAAACACAAGTGATAGCATCGCAAGAAAAAGTAGTCATTTACATTCTCCACTTATTAGAAAAGTTTACAACGATAGACAAAATATAATAAAAAGCATAACTTCCAAATTAAAAAAGCAGCTCTTTTTAAAGGCAAGGCAGTTAGGAGCATGGATTAAAATCCGTTGCCTTCTCCTGAACTAGCAGTGATCAGATAAGTACTTGTTCAAAAAATTTAATCACTCAGCATTACTCTCTGAATCTCTATCACCTTATTTAACATCCACATGAGCACAAATTTATTCCATTTATTTCAGTTTCTCCTTGAGCTCAAGAGTTTTTGCCAATGAATTATTTTTAAGAAAATTCCACCGCTTGACACAGTCACATGAGCAGACAAAAACAGCATCAATAATCATGGCAGCATATTAGATTTTATAAGCTCATAAGACTTCAAGAAAAACAGTATTATCAAAATAGTAACTCCGACAAAGATGATTAGAAATGTTTACAAGGCAAAGCACGGCACATCTACTAAAGATATACCCATTCATAATGATAAAAGGTTGTTAGCCTGTTGCATTGAACTTCAGTTTTTAAACAAACAAACACTGACGAAAACTAATCATTTATTTACAATAATTAATAGACAGTTCTATTTCCTTTTAAAGAAAACCAAAAAACTTAAAATGAAGAATAAACATAAAGATACCTCATAGTCTCTAACCCTGAATATAGGACTGAGCATAGCACACTGAAGTGCACACCCACGGGCTACACATTCACTGGCATTAAGTGATCTACCCGGCTCTCTCCTGAAAAATCCAGACAAAATTCTTGATATTGCTGGAATCCTTGACCCTGAGCCAACAAGCTCTACCGTCTGTATTCTATCCACTTGCAACCCAGATTCAAACACGGCCTTCTTGCATGGCTCCAAAACCCTATCGAGCAAACTTGATGATAGCCTCTCGAACTCTTCCCTTTTAATGAAACCCTTCACATCTTTTTCCTCCATCAAGCACTCTATACTTAATGGGGCCTCAGCATTCGCACTCAGAACCTTCTTCAGTTTCTCACAAGCACTCCTTAACCTAATGCAAGCCCGAGCATTACAATACACGTCTACACTATACTGTTCCTTGAACTGCTCCGCAAAGTACCTAAACAGCACCTCATCGAAATCCCTGCCACCTAAATTCGGATCTGATGCGTGAGAGAGTACTCTCATTTGCCCAGCCTCAAATGCCACCACTGAAACCTGAGTGTCACAATGGCCGATATCAATAAAAGACACATTGATTGGCTCTATGAGACCAGGGAAATCTGCCTTGTATATACCGTATCCCAAAGCAATAGCCGTCGTGTCGTGCATCAACATAAGTGGTTTCAGACCAGCAATAGCCGCCGCATTCAAATAAGCTCTCCTTTGAGAATCGGTGAAGTAAGAAGGAATCCCAATAACACAGTCAGTCACCGAGCTCTGAAGATTCTTCTCCACGGTCTGCTTCAGATGGGAGAGAAGCATCCCGAGGATCTGCACCGGCGTGAAGGTTCGCTCCTCGTTCATGTACCGAATATGGATTAAGATCCCACCATCAACACTCTCCGATGTAACGAACGGTAGGCGGCGAAGGTCCTCCTGAACGTCTGGCTGGAGGAATCCCCGGCCGATGAGTCGCTTGATCTGAGAGATGGTGGACTTCGTGTGCATGGCGGCAGATGCAGCACCGGCCGAGCCTATAAACCGCTGCTTCTCGCCGAAGGAGACCACAGCTGGAGTCTCGCGCTTGGACTCATCGTTGAGAAGCACGTCGATGCCTCTCTGCTTTACGACAGCGATCACGCAGTTGTCGTTGCCAACGTCGAATCCGATCACGCTCATGGATCCTGCGCTCGAATCCTATATTAATCGATTAGTGGAAACGATGTTGAAGTAGAAAGGGTGAAGGAAACCCTAGGAAATTGAGAGAGCATTGACTGGAGAAGTTGAGGTAAGATATGGAGGGCCGGCGAGAGGCGGAGAGCCGGGAGCAAGAGGAGGGAAATGGGAATGGAAAGGGGCCGCGGGAAAGGTTTCTGTGATGTAAAATGGAAGGCTGTAATTGGCGTGCGGTACGCCACGGCGCATAGATTTGTTTGGTGAGGTGAGGTGTGTGCATGATTGCTTCCCGGAGCTTCCAAATTCCAACCGAAATCTACCCAGACTCCCCCTAAGGGATTTATTAATCCCATGTGGATCAATTCTATGGCTGGAGGAAAAGTATATGCAATGTTTTTAGCTAATATGCAAAATTTTGAAAATCATGCGAATAATAAAGAAAAGTTCGGTCAAATCAGTCAAATCAGGGTTAAATTGAAATTCAACTAAATGAGTGTATGAATAATAAATTATAAATTTATTATTCAAATGAGTGTATGAATAATAAATTTATATATATATATATATATATATATATACATATATATATATATATATATGTATACATATATATATATATATATATGTATACATATATATATATATATATATGTATACATATATATATATATATATATGTATATATATATATATATATATATATATAAATTTATTATTCATACACTCATTTGAATAATAAATTTATAATTTATTATTCATACACTCATTTAGTTGAATTTCAATTTAACCCTGATTTGACTGATTTGACCGAACTTTTCTTTATTATTCGCATGATTTTCATATATATATATATATCTCTGTGTGTGTGTGTGTGACATAATAATATAATAATATTATAATATGTATAATTTAAGAAAAATTATTTTAAAGGGACATTTACGTGCACATCATCTAAATTTTAACATATTTTAAATTAACTATCCAAACATCAAATAGTTCAATTATAAAGGTTTATGTTGTTTGTTTCATATCTCTCTTATGTTACCATCGACCATCTTCATCTCCCGACGTGCGACGATCAACTCAAGTTCTTCTAGCTTCATCTTATTCTCGCACTATGCCCCGCCTTCATTGCGAAATATTTCTTCTGACGCTCATCGCTCTTATCTCATTTCTCGGCATTATATCATCATTACCCCATTTGCATTATTTTTAGGGGAACAAACAAGTTGAACATTACTTGGCTCAAAGCTTATTTGTATTCGGCTCATTTAAATATTTTTATGTTTAAAGTTAGCTCATATTCGAAATTGCTCGAAAATATTATTATTTGTGTTTGATTTATTTAAATTTGAATATGTTAGCACATAGTTAGCTTGATTTCAAGGTTTTGAAATTTTATATTTATTTTATTTAATTTATTTCTACTAATTTTGGTATATTTTTTTCAAAAAATAATAAATTTTGACTATTTTTTGCTGCTTCATAATAAACAGTTGAAAAGTCCTTAAATAGATTTTTAATTGGGATTTCTTTTTGTTCGAATGATATGGGGCTAAATACAAAACATAAGTGGCAAGCCGACAAAATTAATTTTCAGTCCGGACTCTTGACATAACGTCCGGAGTCCAATAAAAAACTTAAAAAATTTTTTGGGTCTCATGCATGAACATATTAAAAAAAAAAAACTTAAAAATTTTTTACCCAATGCTTCAACTATCATGCCTTTTAGAAAATTGAGAAAAAGGGTTTTGAAAACCTTTTAGGCTTCCTCAAGTCTGGTGTCAAGAGCTTCTATCCTCATTTTGTGCCCTGTTAGGGTTTCGATGTGCTTCTGCAAAGAGTCAGTTTCAGGTCTTTATTGAGAACTATTAGTGATTTATTATTGCGTTGTTATTGGGTTATTTTTTTGTTATTTTGGGGTTATATTAAAGTTCATCTTGCATTACTTCCAAGGTTTTTTTTTGTGAGTTTATCTAGGGTTATTGTAGGGTTATTCTGTGGTTATTATTGAGTTATTTATGAGTTAATCTCGCTTTAATTTCGGGTTTTATGGGAGTTGTTCAATGGTTATTTAGGAGTTTATTCTTGGATTATTATTGTTTTTTTTTATTATTCTGAAGTTAGTTTTGGGTTTTTATTGGCGACTATTAGTGATATTGTGTGGGGTTATTGTTTGGCTATTTTTTAGTTATTCTGAGGTTATTTAGGAGTTCATCTTAATTTAATTTCATGTTGTTTTTGTGAGTTTATCTTAGGTTATTGTGGGTTATGTTGTGACTATTTTTGGGTTATTTTTTATTTATTTTATCTTTAGTTTCAGATTTTTTAAGATTTGTTCTCAGGTTATTGTTGGGTTATTCAAGGGTTTTTTTATTTTTATTTTAAGGTTATTATTGATTTATTATTGGGTTATTATTGAGTTATTTAAGAGTTATTCTTTGTTTGTTATTGGTGTTTGAGAAAGTTTTCTGGGGTTATTATTGAGTTATGTTGTCGTTATTTAGTATTCATTTTGAGTTATTGTTGGTTTATTTTGGGGTTATCTAGGTTATTATGGGCTTATTTGATGAGTTATTTTGGGGTTATTTCTGTTTTTTTATGTATCAAATATCATAAAATTAATAAGTAATGTTTGTAAATTGTTTATTTTGTTAGTGTTGATAAATTGTTTCTTATTCATATGGATTGATGAACAATACGACTATAAATTGTATGTGTCATTCATTGGCAGTTAGAGAAGTTCTATATAAGGTTAGGTCAACTGTCTCTAAGGAGACCTGGTCAAAACTAAAAGATTTAAATGTTAATCAATTTTTTGAACTCCTCCCATACCCTCAAAATCATATCTTAACTATGCACATATTGACTTTTTAGGATATTGATAGATTGATATTCAAATTGGGAGGGAAGGAGCTGAGTTTTGATGCAGATCAAGCTGTTTGGCTGATCGACATGGCCAAGAAAGGACCAACAACAACTTGGAAAAAACAGGTCCTTTATGGCCTGAATATCAAGAAAACAAAGAATGAACTATTGAAGGTGTCACTCGGATAGTCCTCAACTCCAATTGATGAATTGTTTATTAAGTTTGTTGACAATTATATTTTGCATTTTAGCAATTTTAATGTGCCTCAAGGGCTCTATTCATTTATTGAGAATTTTGATTCTTTTTTTTTCATTTAGTTGCCATGCAATGGTATGTGACTAACTTATTGAGCGAGTCAATGCCTGCACAATTAAAATAATGAAGGGTCAGTCATTAGGATATCTAAATGGATTTGTTTTTTTTTTCTAATGGTTAGTGTATTATTCTTCTCTCTCAAAAGTTCTTTTTTTCTTATTTTGGGCATATGAAATATTGGTTTATCTATGTTTGCGCAGTTGTTGTTTTATGAGCGCACAGTAGTTGTAGTCTGTGTTGTTCCTGAGGCCAGACATCGCATGTTAAGGTGCCTAATAAATGTTGGCTGGAATCCTGCAAATATTAATGTAGCCTTTCAGAGGCTCACCACTACACATGTGAGTAATTTATTTTATGTTGTTAGTTTAGAGTTATTTTTTGTGTTATTTTAGTTTTCCTTACTTACAAATGTGCAATTTTTCATGGGTTTGCGTTTAGGATTCATGGAGGCTTTTATATAATAAGTCCGATTTTGTGAAATTTATGTTATTTAATTCATTGTTTGACTGAATTTATTTGTAGGCTTTAAATTAATTTGTCGACCTAAAAGATGATGAGTGCGGTTTACTTGCCCTTCCAATTGATTTAATATTTAATCTCGTGAAGACTATCCCATAACCCAAAACTTACTCTGCACCAATGTCTCTCGATTCATGTGGTGCTAATCCTTTGATCCTTAGTCGAAGCATTCCTTAACCTACACATTCACAAACATATTTAGATGAAAAAATAGGATCAGAGAATATCTTCCAAATTATGAGAGAAAAACAAAATTTTCTTTTTGAATTTAAGAATCTGTAAATATGCTACTTAATAATATATATTAAATAATGACAGAGCTGAAGACTGGAATAAAATAAATAATTGTGAAGAAGAATTTGCAAAGGAAGGGATATATAAAGGGCAAAAGGGTAACTTAAACTAAAGAGTTAAGACCAAGGGCACTAGGACCAAGAGGAAAATAATCACCCCATTCAGTGAAATAGAAGGGAGAGAAAAAATGATCAATAAAGGAAGTTTAGAAACTTCCCAAAACTAAATTAGATTATTTAGTAGAACATATACATGATTCTTTAGAGGGTAGTGTCGAACCAATAAAAGTTCCTTATGATTTAGAACAACAAAAAATAACATAAGTATTGGATACTTGTTGACCTCACTTTTGGTTGCGGTCTAGAAAACTTCTTTAGTAGCCTAGGTCTAGCCATAGGACTTTCCTATTGACTAGTCTTAGAAAATTAGAAGAGGTACCCCACCATTAGAAATTCAAAAAAACTTTTCTTTTTACTCAGTTTGAAATTCCACATATTGATCTTAACCTCTAGCATTTAGTAGGTAAGATCATTATAAGAGAATTCAAGAAGAGTCCCTATAGGATTACTTGGCTTTAGGGTCGACC